TACTTCAGACGAACCTCGCGTTCGTACTTCAGACGAACCTCGCGTTCGTACTTCAGACGAACCTCGCGTTCGTACTTCAGACGAACCTCGCGTTCGTACTTCAGACGAACCTCGCGTTCGTACTTCAGACGAACCTCGCGTTCGTACTTCAGACGAACCTCGCGTTCGTACTTCAGACGAACCTCGCGTTCGTACTTCAGACGAACCTCGCGTTCGTACTTCAGACGAACCTCGCGTTCGTACTTCAGACGAACCTCGCGTTCGTACTTCAGACGAACCTCGCGTTCGTACTTCAGACGAACCTCGCGTTCGTACTTCAGACGAACCTCGCGTTCGTACTTCAGACGAACCTCGCGTTCGTACTTCAGACGAACCTCGCGTTCGTACTTCAGACGAACCTCGCGTTCGTACTTCAGACGAACCTCGCGTTCGTACTTCAGACGAACCTCGCGTTCGTACTTCAGACGAACCTCGCGTTCGTACTTCAGACGAACCTCGCGTTCGTACTTCAGACGAACCTCGCGTTCGTACTTCAGACGAACCTCGCGTTCGTACTTCAGACGAACCTCGCGTTCGTACTTCAGACGAACCTCGCGTTCGTACTTCAGACGAACCTCGCGTTCGTACTTCAGACGAACCTCGCGTTCGTACTTCAGACGAACCTCGCGTTCGTACTTCAGACGAACCTCGCGTTCGTACTTCAGACGAACCTCGCGTTCGTACTTCAGACGAACCTCGCGTTCGTACTTCAGACGAACCTCGCGTTCGTACTTCAGACGAACCTCGCGTTCGTACTTCAGACGAACCTCGCGTTCGTACTTCAGACGAACCTCGCGTTCGTACTTCAGACGAACCTCGCGTTCGTACTTCAGACGAACCTCGCGTTCGTACTTCAGACGAACCTCGCGTTCGTACTTCAGACGAACCTCGCGTTCGTACTTCAGACGAACCTCGCGTTCGTACTTCAGACGAACCTCGCGTTCGTACTTCAGACGAACCTCGCGTTCGTACTTCAGACGAACCTCGCGTTCGTACTTCAGACGAACCTCGCGTTCGTACTTCAGACGAACCTCGCGTTCGTACTTCAGACGAACCTCGCGTTCGTACTTCAGACGAACCTCGCGTTCGTACTTCAGACGAACCTCGCGTTCGTACTTCAGACGAACCTCGCGTTCGTACTTCAGACGAACCTCGCGTTCGTACTTCAGACGAACCTCGCGTTCGTACTTCAGACGAACCTCGCGTTCGTACTTCAGACGAACCTCGCGTTCGTACTTCAGACGAACCTCGCGTTCGTACTTCAGACGAACCTCGCGTTCGTACTTCAGACGAACCTCGCGTTCGTACTTCAGACGAACCTCGCGTTCGTACTTCAGACGAACCTCGCGTTCGTACTTCAGACGAACCTCGCGTTCGTACTTCAGACGAACCTCGCGTTCGTACTTCAGACGAACCTCGCGTTCGTACTTCAGACGAACCTCGCGTTCGTACTTCAGACGAACCTCGCGTTCGTACTTCAGACGAACCTCGCGTTCGTACTTCAGACGAACCTCGCGTTCGTACTTCAGACGAACCTCGCGTTCGTACTTCAGACGAACCTCGCGTTCGTACTTCAGACGAACCTCGCGTTCGTACTTCAGACGAACCTCGCGTTCGTACTTCAGACGAACCTCGCGTTCGTACTTCAGACGAACCTCGCGTTCGTACTTCAGACGAACCTCGCGTTCGTACTTCAGACGAACCTCGCGTTCGTACTTCAGACGAACCTCGCGTTCGTACTTCAGACGAACCTCGCGTTCGTACTTCAGACGAACCTCGCGTTCGTACTTCAGACGAACCTCGCGTTCGTACTTCAGACGAACCTCGCGTTCGTACTTCAGACGAACCTCGCGTTCGTACTTCAGACGAACCTCGCGTTCGTACTTCAGACGAACCTCGCGTTCGTACTTCAGACGAACCTCGCGTTCTGTATGTGGATGACATCTTGCTTGCCACTAATGATATAGGCATGTTGCACGAAACCAAGAGATTTCTATCAAAGAATTTTGAGATGAAAGATCTTGGGGACGCCTCTTTTATATTAGGGATCCAGATACATCGAGATCGCTCTCGGGGTATTCTTGGATTATCACAAAAGAGCTATATCGATAAGGTACTTAAAAGGTTTGGCATGCAAGATTGCAGACCAGGTGACACCCCTGTTGCTAAAGGAGACAAGTTTAGTCTCAATCAGTGCCCTAAAGGTAACCTTGAAATTCAGGAAATGCAGAAGATTCCTTATGCTTCGGCTGTAGGAAGTCTAATGTATGCTCAGGTATGTACGCGTCCGGATATTGCGTACATTGTTGGAATGTTAGGCAGATACTTAAGCAACCCTGGTATGGATCATTGGATAGCAGTCAAAAGGGTCATGAGGTATCTTCAGAAAACAAAAGATTACATGCTCACATACAGAAAATCAGAGAAATTAGAGGTCATTGGGTATTCGGACTCTGATTTTGCTGGATGCCAAGATAGCAGGAAGTCTACATCAGGCTACATTTATATGTTAGCAGGAGGAGCTATATCATGGAAAAGTGTCAAACAAACACTAGTAGCTTCCTCCACTATGGCAGCAGAATTTGTAGCTTGCTATGAGGCATCCAATCAGGGAATATGGCTGCGAAATTTTGTCACGGGACTGCGCATTTTGGAAAAGGTTGAAAAACCACTAAGGCTATATTGTGACAATAAATCTGCAGTAATGTATTCCAATAACAACAGGAGCTCAACTAAGTCAAAGCATATTGACATTAAGTTCCTGGTTGTGAAAGAAAGGGTACAGAGTGGACAAATATCCATAGAGCACATTGGGACAAACTCCATGATAGCTGATCCTCTTACTAAGGGATTGCCACCTAAGGTCTTTCATGAGCATACTGCTCATATGGGTGTGGTATTATTTGAGGATATTATGTTTTAGTGGGAGTTTGTATTTGTGGTGCTTTATGTTTGTTTGTATTGTCTGATCAGAATAAAGTTTTCAGTTAAGACACTCTGTTACATTATGTTTGGTTTTGACCTCACTAAGGAGGACCAGTTGAAAATAGACATGTACTGATCACATTGCATGTAATTTTCATGCTGCACATCCATGATTGACCTATGTCATTTGATTTTATTGGTATATGTGACCATTGATGGGTCGAGTCACGATAAATGTGACGAATGCCGCTTTGATCCTATATTGATATAGTCAATGGACGAGATTGTTCGGAAATACCATTTCAGTGATAGCAATTTTTGAGCTCATAAGGTTATACACAGTTTAAGGAATCATATGGTGCCCAAGTGGGAGATTGTTGGATTTAATCTAATAAATCTATTTGTGGGCACATATGATTAATCAATGTGTATTGCTATCTTTCAGGATAACCCACTAAAGTGATCAATTAAGTTGGGTTAATGGATATTTAAATATAATCATGGGGTTATATGTGCAGATACCAGGTTGTAATTGTAATTTATTGAGGGGCTAAATTACAAAAGTACAACATCTATAAATAATGGGTTATGGTCCCTAACCTAGGGTTACATTCTCTAATTCTCTTCACCCCCATCTAAGAGAGAAATTCGGCTAAGGAGAAAACCCTAAGGTTAGAAGATCCAAAAACCAAAAAATCAAGATCAAGCAATGGATTCAGGTATAAGCTTCCGCTCTTTTAGATCCTTGTTAATCTCTTTGAATTAATCATGGCTATATGGTTTTAGATCTCAAGTTTTGATTTATATCTAACAAATTGTGCTAAAGATAACAAGTTAGACATAAAAATAATAGTTAAGGATGTAATTATCAACAGTTAAAGGTGATAAAGCTCGACAAGAAGGTATCAAGTAAAAAACACTTTTTTTTTAAAGATAACAAAATGCTAAAGGTACCACGTTAGCTACAAAGATGACAATTAACAGCCGAAATGTGCAGAAGTTCAAAGCAAATATAACAATTAACAGCTAATTTGACAAACTAAACACCAGGATATCAAATAAAGAACTTTTCGTTATTGCTAAAGATAACCAAATCATGATAAAGAAAACAAATTACATTTAATGTTCGAATAACGTGACTAAATTAACCCATGTGCAAAATGACAAAATGATGGACATTAATGACTATTAAGAGAAAATAAATGGTTCTTAATGAAATTTGTTTATGGCTGTCTATGGCAAATTATTTGGATTAATGGGTGAATTATTTTGAGGCTGATTTGGGGTGGAGGTTATTGTGAGAATGAAGAAACAATGTCAAAAACATGCTCGATGAAATCCTCTTAAAGTAACACAACAAAAATCTCTCAGATCGATGCATATATGTATGCCATCAAGATTTTTAGAATTCAATTGCAATTTGCAAAAAAATAAAAATAAAAGGGCAAGTAAATCAAGTAAACATTATATAGCGTATAGATCTTAGAAATTTAAAAAAGAAAGAAAGAAAAAAAAAGAAAAAGAAAAAGAGGGGCAGATGGATTACCGACCCTCCTCTTGTCGACGCTAGGGTTTCTTTGGCTATGGCTGGAGCTCCTTCGCCTCCGCCCTCTCTCTTTCCCCTCATTTCCAGATTTGAATCTGAGAGAGAGAGAGAGAGGGAGCGAGGTCCATCTCCAATCTTTACAAAGAGGTGATCACGCGCCTGTCACGCGTCCGCTTAGAATATACACGGTACGCGTATAACACGTACGCTTTTAGTTTACACGTACGCGTCTACGTATAATTTTACGCGTCGGGCGTCTAATTTACGCGACCCGTATGAAGTAGCCCTTGTCTTGGATCTTATGATTTCAGCCCATTTAAAGCGAGTTAGTGTTCACACTCTGCAATTAGGCCCAGAACAAAGTTTCCTTTATAATGAGCGCGCAATAAAAGAAGGCCACGAAACTCCGCAGCTAGAAACTAACGGGTCGGTCTCGATCAGATCACGGCTTAACCCGATAACCGCGACCCATTTCCAGTTCCCCCTTGAGTACTCGACGTGTTCTTCTTGCTCTTCCAAGTACCGGGCCCTCTCAAATTCTCCCCCAAACAAATTACTTCCTCTTCGGTTTCTCAAACCCTAATGGAGTGCGTATTCGGTCTCGTCGGCGACGGGTTCGCGGTGATCGCCGCCGACACGTCAGCAGTCCACAGCATCCTCGTCCACAAGTCGAACGAGGACAAGGTCATGATCCTCGACTCTCACAAGCTCCTCGGTGCCTCAGGCGAGGGCGGTGACCGGTAAATTTCTCACCTTTTGTTTCTTTTCTTGGAATTAGGGTTTTGGATCTGGTGACTGATGATGTTGATGATTGTAGGGTGCAGTTTACTGAGTTTATTCAGAAGAATGTTCATCTTTACCAGTTTCGTAATGGGATTCCCCTGACCACGTCGGCGGCGGCCAATTTTACTCGGAATGAGCTGGCTACCGCGCTGCGAAAGGTAACTGTCTTTTTTTTTTGTTTTTAGCGTTTTCTCGTGATCTTTTTCTAGGGTTAGGGTTTGGGGTTGCTATTGAAGGGACTTGTGTGGAGTTTTGTTTGGTGTTTGAAAATGCTGGAACCTTTAATAACCTAAATCTCATCCTCTCACGTCCGAGGAGGTCTCAGTGGCATCTGTTCTATGTTTAGAATGTCTAGGATTTGATATAATTAGAGCCAAATTTTTTATCTCTGGCTGGAAACTGAGTGATCTTTTGCCCTTCTAGAGCCCATGTACTTGACCTTAAGTTTGTTATTGGTAAGTTGGTATCAGATAGCTCATGGATTTTACATTCATCTGAATTAGACCTCCCACGTCCTAATGACCATTTTTAGAGGCGAAAACAGCTAAAACGGGTTGGATTGCGATCAACTTAAAAAGGTTACACTGGGGATAGGATCATAATGTAAGACATAACATGCGTCCAATTACGCTGTTAAGGCACGATACGGGAACTTGTGAATGCAGTACTTAATTAATTTCGTAGGATGCAGGAAAAACTACCCATAGGTCAAGTCAGTTATATAACCATGTAGCTTTGGGCTATGCTATATGTTCGACTTCTATTGTATGAAAAACAAGGACTGTGTACTTGCAACCTTTTGTCCTCTTTGGTTTTTTTCCTTGCTATCTTGCTCATACCATTAATTGAATTATATCACCGTCAAGCTAGATTACTTTGAAAGAATTGCTTGCTTTTGAGCTATGTTGCACGCATACGGATGTGGGCGTGGGGCACAACAAATTTGTAAAGGTATAGGGGCTCGATTATATATATTGAAATTAATAATGTGAATGAGATCAATATTGTTGTTTCATTCACATGTTATGAGAATCAATTCCTATAATTTTTTAAAATTTCTTTTATTGTGTCGCTCGATTTTGAGCTAGATATGCAAAAGATTTTCTAAATTCATAGTTATTAATTGAGTATATGATAAAACAAACCCAACCCTTGTCCAACAAGATTCAGAAAGTGGGTGTAAAGTGTAGGATATACGTTCAAATAGTGTATGATGAGTATTTTAAGTTTAAAACCGTGTATAATAATTATGTATACATCTGAATAGAAGTATGCAAATATTCAAGGAGCGTCCAAGGAGTGTCAGTGACTGATACTGTTATGGAAAGTGTCGGGTATAGGTACACTACATGATGGAAGTGCTTGAGCCTGCATTTACTGTCTAGTTTAATGTTTCCTTCTGAGAGAAATCTGGCATGAAGGGCAACATGGAGTGTCATTGTTACCATTACGAGGATTTTCATTTTTGTCTTATTTGGCTTTTACTCTCTTGTTTCTTGTAAATGAAATAGTGGTATACTTAAAAAATTATTTTTCTAAATTGATGTTGTACTTAGAAAATTTACTCTCTTGTTTCTTGTAAATGAAATAGTGGTATACTTAAAATTTTTACTCTCGTCTCTTGTACTTGAAGTGAGCTTTCATTTGTTTATATTGAATTGTGGATGTTGCTTTTAGTTACATATCTAAAAGTTTTTGAACTATTTTTCTACACGCTCCAGCTTGGAAGATCAATGAATTTTCTTTTTTTGGGAAAAAGTGCTTCTAACCCCTTAAGAACTTGAATCTATATTTTTGCCTCTGAGTTGAGGAAAAACCTATCCTTTTTTAAAGCTCATCCTCCCCTTTACACATCACTTGTTTTTAAAGAGCCCAATACAACTTTTGTCTCCCTTTTCATTGTCTTTCTTTTCTTCGATTTCCACCTCCAACTCATCCACCCATCCTCCACCTTCTAACCTCATCTCCCTCATATCCATCTTTCTTACCCACAAACCTACCCTCCTAATCGGGGGGCTTGCCCCTGCCTCTACTGTTTTCGCCAAAAGTCGAATTTGTTGTCGAATTCATTATATCTTCGGTCGATTACAATAAATTCAAAGAAAACAGCATTTTTATAAGACTCTTTTACACAACAAAAAGAAAATTACAACTCTTGAGAAAATAAACGCAGGATCGTTGTTTGGATCACTGCTTTCGTGGGATCTTTGCCTGTGCCGGGAGCGCTTTGACTCGTGGACCACCAAGTCACAGATTCTGATTGAACCGTGAGGGGTTTATGATTCTGACTTCGTTTATCGAAGTGAGAAATTGAAACGATATCTTATCGATGTAAGATTGTCGTTCTTCTTGAAATCAAGTCAAAGCTCAATTTCAAGGATTGGCCGTAAGATCAACACCTCTGCTCTCTCTCTGCTCTGGATTGCTCTGGATTGCTCTGAAGTGCTCACAATCATCAGCCCCCGGATCTCTGCTGGAAGCCCCCCTGTGAAAATGGCCTTCGGGGGGTATTTATAACCCTCTGGATGAACAGTGCTCGCGAGACAGCATTTGCTGTCTCGGCGGGCGAGACAGTGTTTGCTGTCTCGCCCAGCGAGACATACTGTCTCGGAAACAGTAACCGCAGGCAGTTTTCGTTTTAACTGCCTTCCCACGTTTCAAACTCCGTTATTTTGGCAGTTATCCACGTGATTCTCGCCCACGACGTTTCCCACGTTCTTGAACAGTTAGTGGCCACGTGTAGGGCAGTTGCAAAGGTAGTTTTGACCATCTGAAAACTGTCTCACGTGCAAGACAGTAAATTCTGTCTCGCACGGCGAGACAGTAAATACTGTCTCGCCGATCCTAACTGTTTAAAGGTTTGATCGTTCAATTTGTGGACCTCTCGTTCATGGAACGAATCGAGAGGGGATTTTGGCTTTGGTCCTAACTGTTTAAAGGTTTGACCAAGATGGGAATTTGAGACGATCCTAACTGTTTAAAGGTTTGATCGTTCAATTTGTGGACCTCTCGTTCATGGAACGAATCGAGAGGGGATTTTGGCTTTGGTCCTAACTGTTTAAAGGTTTGACCAAGATGGGAATTTGAGACGATCCTAACTGTTTAAAGGTTTGATCGTTCAATTTGTGGACCTCTCGTTCATGGAACGAATCGAGAGGGGATTTTGGCTTTGGTCCTAACTGTTTAAAGGTTTGACCAAGATGGGAATTTGAGACGATCCTAACTGTTTAAAGGTTTGATCGTTCAATTTGTGGACCTCTCGTTCATGGAACGAATCGAGAGGGGATTTTGGCTTTGGTCCTAACTGTTTAAAGGTTTGACCAAGATGGGAATTTGAGACGATCCTAACTGTTTAAAGGTTTGATCGTTCAATTTGTGGACCTCTCGTTCATGGAACGAATCGAGAGGGGATTTTGGCTTTGGTCCTAACTGTTTAAAGGTTTGACCAAGATGGGAATTTGAGACGATCCTAACTGTTTAAAGGTTTGATCGTTCAATTTGTGGACCTCTCGTTCATGGAACGAATCGAGAGGGGATTTTGGCTTTGGTCCTAACTGTTTAAAGGTTTGACCAAGATGGGAATTTGAGACGATCCTAACTGTTTAAAGGTTTGATCGTTCAATTTGTGGACCTCTCGTTCATGGAACGAATCGAGAGGGGATTTTGGCTTTGGTCCTAACTGTTTAAAGGTTTGACCAAGATGGGAATTTGAGACGATCCTAACTGTTTAAAGGTTTGATCGTTCAATTTGTGGACCTCTCGTTCATGGAACGAATCGAGAGGGGATTTTGGCTTTGGTCCTAACTGTTTAAAGGTTTGACCAAGATGGGAATTTGAGACGATCCTAACTGTTTAAAGGTTTGATCGTTCAATTTGTGGACCTCTCGTTCATGGAACGAATCGAGAGGGGATTTTGGCTTTGGTCCTAACTGTTTAAAGGTTTGACCAAAATGGGAATTTGAGACGATCCTAACTGTTTAAAGGTTTGATCGTTCAATTTGTGGACCTCTCGTTCATGGAACGAATCGAGAGGGGATTTTGGCTTTGGTCCTAACTGTTTAAAGGTTTGACCAAATGGGAATTTGAGACGATCCTAACTGTTTAAAGGTTTGATCGTTCAATTTGTGGACCTCTCGTTCATGGAACGAATCGAGAGGGGATTTTGGCTTTGGTCCTAACTGTTTAAAGGTTTGACCAAATGGGAATTTGAGACGATCCTAACTGTTTAAAGGTTTGATCGTTCAATTTGTGGACCTCTCGTTCATGGAACGAATCGAGAGGGGATTTTGGCTTTGGTCCTAACTGTTTAAAGGTTTGACCAAAATGAGAATTTGAGACGATCCTAACTGTTTAAAGGTTTGATCGTTCAATTTGTGGACCTCTCGTTCATGGAACGAATCGAGAGGGGATTTTGGCTTCGGTCCTAACTGTTTAAAGGTTTGACCAAATGGGTTTTGTGAGGGAAGATTGATCTAACGAAGTGATCGAATCTCATCTCAGCAAAAGAGTGTTCGAAAATCATAATAGGAGCTTAGTATTTATCATTCTGTCCATAATAATCGGGTTATCCCTAAGAATATTATATTTAACATTCTTCCAGGAACTTCCCATTACATGAATTATCGACCCCCAGCTTTCTTTGTAAAACTGGGTATAACGAGGAGTACGTTAACCTCAGTCATATGTTCGGGTTATCCTTAAGAATATAGGATTCTCCAGGAACTTCCCGTTAAGGAAAGGAAATAGTTTAGACTCATATACCTTTTGGAGTATCGAGGAGCAGTTTATACTCGTATACTTTTCGGAGTGAGGGGAAACAGTTTATACTCGTGTACCCAATGGAGTTATATGGTCGTCTTTACTCGACTTCTTTCGTCGTTATGACGCCGGAGTCAATTAGGGCTTGGATCTTGTTTTTGAGTCCAAAGCAAATCTCAGTGGGATGAAGAACCCTTCTGTGGTACGCACAGTAATTTGGATCCATAATCATTTTAGCACCATCCTGATCTTTAATAGGTGGTAGCTCGATTTTGTCATTAGCGAGGAGGTATTCCAAGATGGCTGGAGCTTCATCATCTTCGAAAGAATATTCCTTTTGAAACCTCGGATCGAGAGTCGCATTCTCAATGATTGCAGATGTCATTGGTTGGCCTCTCTCAGCTTTCTTTCTTTTAAGAAAGTGCTCAGCTTGTTCACCCCGAGATTTTAACTCCTTCCAAGTTGTGGATGGCACGACCCCCAGAGCTTCCAGGACATCGATGGAGAGGTTATTGTGGCATGTTTGCAGGATGAACTCCTTCGTGATAGGATCTCTGCAATTCATTGCTTTGTTACGGAAACGTTTGACAAAGTTGTCAACTGACTCTCCGTCTTTTTGCTTCTCATCTAGAAGGGTTCCGATTGACACTTCGGCGTCATCATCAAAGAAGTTGCTGAGGAACAAACTTTCTATGTCATCCCAGCAATTGATACTCCCTGGCTTGAGCCGTCGATACCAATCGAAGGCGGGCCCACGAAGGGTGCCAACGAATGACCGGACCATTAAAGCCTCGTTTCCAGAGATCATGCCCAAATGAGACTTGAAATAAATCAAGTGTTGAATCGGCGAACTCTTCCCTTCAAACGGTGTGAAGTTAATCAGATTGAATTTGGTCGGGTATGGTATTGAATCCCATTCCCTCGGATAAGGACATGGAATACCCGTCTTCTTAACTTCTTGAGCCGTCATCAAAGCATTGATTTTGTCTTCAAGCTTTTGCATTTTCTCGTTATCGTCTCTTTCTTCATTCGAAGGGCGTTGAGGAGAATGAGTTAGGCCACCCCTTTTGAGAGGTGCTATTGAACCACCCCCAATATCGTTATTGGGAGGATCCGTTAAACCACCCCCAGCGTTATTGCCATTGGGAGGTGTATCAGCCATAATGACTTCATCCACCTCTGGATCACTGTCATCTACAACATTCCGAGTGTGGTGGCTGGATTCAAATCGCTGATTGGACTCAGGAGGTTGAGGCTGTTGAGTTAACAGTTCTCTCATTTGTTGGATAGCCAACTTCATTTCTGTCTTCACTTCAGCTCTAATTTCTTCACGTTGTTTGGCTAGAGCTTCCTGAAGTATTTGAGTGAACTGATCAGCAGTGATTGTGAATACTTCTCTGATTTGTCCTGTGCTAGATATTGTATCATCCGAAGCGATTGCAGAACAAGTGTCCGAGAGTTCATCCTCTGACGACATCCCTTCATGCATTCTCTTGATAGCTCCTGGTCGGAGTCGAGACTTCCGTCGGGCGATTCTTAAATTGACTTTTCCTTCTGGGGAAAAGTCGGGATTTGAGTCACTTGAATGCCGCTTAGACTTTCTTTTATCAGCCACGTTGATGGTGACTTCAGGGAATTCATCATCTTGGGCAGCTGATTTTCTTTTGGGGAAATGTCTCGGCTTAGGCTTCGATAATACAGAGATTTTTCGTGGGATGACTTCTCGTTTGAAACAGTCACATTCTGATAATGCTGTTTTAACGAGTCGCACACAGGAACAACGAGAGTTTATCTCTCGAATAACTCTCTTTCGAAAATTATTCACAACCTCAACTTGATAATACGATTCATCGGTATGATTGCCAAAAAATCGTATCGTCTGTTGGCATGATCTCCCAGGTATGACGATATCATTTGGTGAATGCGTCTTCTTCTGGGGGTATAAAACCTTGTTGGCATTCTCAGGACAATTTATTTTTGTCTTTGAGCGATCCAAGGTTATGTTGGGAGTCGCACGTCTAAAACCACCCATTTGCGGGTATGGGGTCTTAACGGGCTCCGAATGCTGATTTTGCATAAGTCCAGACTTTGGAATCCAAACTTGGCGGAGTTTCGGTGGTTCTTTGGTCACCGTTTTCTTCCTCCTTTCTCCTCTTTGTTGTGAGAGAGCACGAGCAAGAGCAGCGTTTGCACAACGTTTTTGTATACGCTCATTGAGGGTCGAACGAGCCCTTTTAACGAGTGTCCATTCATCCGTCGTGAGTTTAGCAGAGACATGAGTGATTGGTTGTTGAGACAACTGAACCATTCGATGTCTCCTCGACTTTAGGTCCGCGTGATAACGAACCCCGTCGGTTTGTTCCAAGCCTTTAGCCATTTGGCGAGCACGGCGTTGGCGTTGTCTCTGACGAGCTCTTTTCGTCAATGCCGGCGGGCTTTGATTTAATGACTCCTTAACTGGAGAAGAGTCATTATGAGCAGAGAGGTTGCGAGTAGAATTCTCAGCAACAATTAAGCGAAAGTCTTCATCTGTAGGGTTTGACAACTTCGACAAAGATGAAATCTTCCTGCATTTGTGAGGCGAAGAAGATTTTACAGATGAGAATAACAAATACTCCTCGAACTTCGCTTGGTCGAACTCGTACTCGACTGTTGATTCAACCAGGATCTTGATGGTTGGCTGCGACACGACGGTCTCGGCAGCGAGACCGTTGGCTCCCACTGTGGTCGCCAGTTTGTTTTCGCCAAAAGTCGAATTTGTTGTCGAATTCATTATATCTTCGGTCGATTACAATAAATTCAAAGAAAACAGCCTTTTTATAAGACTCTTTTACACAACAAAAAGAAAATTACAACTCTTGAGAAAATAAACGCAGGATCGTTGTTTGGATCACTGCTTTCGTGGGATCTTTGCCTGTGCCGGGAGCGCTTTGACTCGTGGACCACCAAATCACAGATTCTGATTGAACCGTGAGGGGTTTATGATTCTGACTTCGTTTATCGAAGTGAGAAATTGAAACGATATCTTATCGATGTAAGATAGTCGTTCTTCTTGAAATCAAGTCAAAGCCTGATTATCAAGGATTGGCCGTAAGATCAGCACCTCTGCTCTCTCTCTGCTCTGGATTGCTCTGGATTGCTCTGAAGTACTCACAATGATCAGCCCCCTGGAAAAATGGCCTTAGGAGGGTATTTATAACCTCCAAGAACAGTTGGCAGAAAACAGGTTCGCGAGACAGCTTTTGCTGTCTCGACGGGCGAGACAGTGTTTGCTGTCTCGGCCCGCGAGACAGTAAATACTGTCTCGGAAACAGTAACCGCAAGCAGTTTTCGTTTTAACTGCCTTCCCACGTTTCAAACTCCGTTATTTTGGTAGTTATCCACGTGATTCTCGCCCACGACGTTTCCTACGTTCTTGAACAGTTAGTGGCCACGTGTAGGGCAGTTGCAAAGGTAGTTTTGACCATCTGAAAACTGTCTCACGTGCAGACTGTCTCGCACGGCGAGACAGTCAAGTCTGTCTCGCGTGCGAGACAGTAAAGACTTGTGTTCTTCTGCCTTTTTGAATGATTTCCTCTTGAGCTGTATTTGGATATCTTTCAGCATTTTTTGACGTCTACATCTACTTGCTGCCCCACCCCACCCCCTCTACCTATCACTAGACACCAAAACATCCCCTCTACCCCACCAACCCCTTCTCCCACCTCTATTCTGACCCAATCTCTCCCCCTTCCCCAACCGCCCCTTCTGCACTCACCCATCACATCTGATCCAAACCCCCTTGTTTTCCCCCTTCATCGCACTTACTTCTGATTTATAGTAATTTTCTTATATTATCATATTTTTTACTTTTAGTCACTATTTTCTAGCTTTCGCTCTTTTCGCCTACCTTGACCCTATTTGTAATATCGTATCTCACTCTTATTGAATACATCCTGCCTTTCACTCTTGTTGAATACCGTTTTCTTCTGGTTATCTTTCTTTTGTACTGTCTACCTTTCTTTTTTTTATGTCTACCTTTCTTCTTTCTCAACTACCTTTTGTTCTTACAGACTCCTTTTCTTCTTTTCTATCTTTCTTTCTTTCCTACAGCTCACCTTCCGTTTTTCACTTTTTTAAATGAATAACTAGTCCATTGGCACGTGCAATGCACATGTAAAGATTTTTAATTGTTATCAATTAATCTTCTATTATACATATTAATAGTTTGATGATGATTCAGTTTATGTAATTTTATTATAGAGTTCAATGTAGAAAATCAAACTGTTCTTTAGTATTTTTTTAAGAATACTATTTTGTAGTTAAATCAGCAAATATGTTAACACAATTTTGTTGAGGAGTTTTCTTATTGAGGATAATATAATTGAAGTGATTAAAATAAAAAAGAAAAATAAGGAGTATTGCAATTTAATTACATGAGTTCAAATCCTGTCCTCATGTCATGATTTAGAATGGTCTAGGAATAAAAAAGGAAAAAAGAAAAGAAAAGAAAGGGAAAAAAGAAACTCTTTTGCAAAATGTGGTTTTGGTTATGTAAGTTCCAATCCTATTATCATGTCATGATTCATTTAGAATGTTCTAGAAACAAAAAATGAAGAGGAAAAAAAGTAACAGCAATCTCCCTTGCAGAATTATGATTTTACTCTCCCAATTACTATACAAAGGAGGACATGTCCTCCATTCCTCCAACTTTTCTCTGCCCTCACAATGTTCGTTATATATAAGTATAGATAATCTTGTGATATCTCTTGCTAAAGGCCTTTTAAGTGGAGAACACATTTGTAGCAGGAGCGGAGCCTAATTATCCAATAGCTGAGTCTAAATCCATATAGCTACTCTCCTAGGTAACTATCATCCAAAAGTTCGAGACAGACGCAACATTGGAGCATAGTTTCACCACCTTCTTTTGTATCTACCTATTTCTTCCCTGTTAAAACTTGTAGTTCAGTTGTGAATGTGAATCAACTTGCTCGTAAATGATAATTATTTCATCTTGTTCAGATTGATACAGGTAAAAATGATGACTGTCATCTCACTTGGGTTGATATAATGTCTCTCGTCAGTCGCTACATTTACTGCTTGTTAAGACTAACCTATTTGAATGACAACCAATTAATACCCGTCTCACCATCATACTGTCGCTAATCTATGCTCTTTTGCATTCCAGAACCCATATATGGTTAACATTTTACTGGCGGGGTATGAGAAGGACATTGGTCCCTCACTTTACTACATTGACTACATTGCAACTCTCCACAAGATTGACAAGGGTGCTTTTGGGTACGGATCCTACTTTTGCTTGGCACTTATGGACAGACATTATCATAGTGGGATGTCAGTAGAAGAAGCTATTGATCTTGTGGATAAGTGCATATTAGAAATCAGGTCTCGCTTGGTTGTTGCACCACCGAACTTCGTTATCAAGATTGTTGACAAGGATGGAGCAAGGGAGTATGCTTGGCGCGAATCAGTGAAGGATACGGCTTGAAATGGTCAATGTTGTTGCTCCCCTGAATGATCTTTGTCAATTTCCTGTTATGTGATAAACTATACAACGCTCTTATTCCTTTACCCTAAAATAGATACTGTTTATGTCTGTTTTCTTTATTTCTTGATACTTGTTTTTTATCTTCATCTGAATCTGCTCATTAAACATCATCAGCTGTTGCAACTTGGGTTTTCAAGATATCTATGATTTGATGGATATAATCTGATTAAGATATTTAAAATCAAAGCACTTCAGTTAACTCGAGTTGCGATCTTGATTTTGATTATTGCTTCAGTCAATGTAGGCTAGGTTTCTTACAATCCTGGAGTTGATTTATGTTGTATTTGGAGTAAATGCAGTCCTACTAGCATGCAGTTGATTTATGTTTCATTTATGGAAGTCAGGAACTGTATGAGAAAATAATTCAGACACTGTAAACTGTTTAATTAATCTGTGAACGACCAGCATATGGATCACACATTTCTCAATTCTCATTATTCAAAAAAAATTACAAACAGCCGATCATTGTTCTTTTGTTATGGGAGCTTTTCTGCTGTCTTGTTGCATGATTATCATTCGAGTTGCATGTTTTGCGATTACCGCCTGCCTCTGAAAATTTTTGCTCTATGTTTCCTCTTCTAATACCAAATATTCCTTTGTATATGTTTTCAGCAATGGTAAAGAGATAAAGGGTTAGGAGATTCATTATTAGGAATATACTTTTGTCCATCTTGTTCACTTTCAACAATTTATCTATTTCGAGAAATTAAAATTATAAGATCCCTCATGTGAAGAGGTTTCTTACATAATAAGCTGTTAGTAATTTAAGCAAATTCTTAGAACTGCAGTCACACTTCCATCTCCACTTTATCCAACCAAATAACCCCGATATGAATTTTCTGATGCCGGATAGCCATACACTAGTAGTAGTTTATTATCACCATAGATAACAAAAGAACACCCAATTTTTACTGTAAATTCATATCATACATAGCTGAACTTACACTGTACTTCTCCAATAGCCTTCCAGCAGGCTATTACAAATTTATTACTAACAGTAAAGAAAGTAAATCCACATAGTAAATACATATCATAGGCGAACAAACATCTACTACAGCTGAAGATGCAGGATCTTCAGAAACTGGTGGGTGAAGATGAGAGATAAGCCATAGCTAGGAGGAGGGAGAATAGGAGAAAGACAGGTACTTCGACAATATCCCCACCTACATCCACCGTCATATGTTCACCATAAATCCAAGAAAAAAAAATGATAATGTACAATATTCATTTTTTGGTGTCAGGGTTTTACCTGAAGGAGCATCAGCTGGTGCGAATCCATTGGTAACTGTGGTTATGACATTAAATAACAGAGGGGAAAAGACATTAGTAACACAACTGTAAGTTCGAGAAAGTAGTTAAAGATCTGGGCCTTTACCATTACACTGGCTCAATGGCGGTGTTTGCTCATTGCAAGCACCAGGAAGAGCCAGAGCCTGAGTCTGATTAACTTCAATCCCCAACGACGAAGCCCCACCATTAATAACCATGCAGAGACACTGCGGGTCAGACTGGACCACAGACCGCAACTGCCTGCAACATTGGTCTGAAGGAGTTGTGGAGTTGCCTGAGATGTAGTTTAGGCACGGGGCCAGACTCGTTATCGTGTTTGTGCACGTGTTTGATTGGGCTGATGCACCCACAAACAGGAGGGTTGCAGCCACTGCTGCTGAGCATAGGAAGAACACTCTTGGTTGCATTTTTCACTAGGCTTTGCGTTTGTGTTTTGAAGGTAGGATAAGAGAAGGGGTCAGGTTCTTATAACGGGTTATCGTTGGTGAACGGTTTCTCCTACAAAATGTTTTAAATGAGAGTATGGGTCATTTTGATAGCTGACTTATAATGTTGATAATAGATATAATACGTCTTCTTCTACCTAATGTTATCTTATTTTATGTTACAATGATATGGACATGCTTCCTTTCGTCTGTGTTTAGGTTTGGTTAGTTTGCAAAACATAAATGTGTCACGTTGGCAGGAAAGCTTGAATAAGGTCAACGATAACCTTGTTATTGCTTACGGGTGTACGCAGCTGCTGACCGTGCAAAATATTTTTCTGTAATTTGATACTAATGATGTTATATATCATCAGGAGTAAGAAATCTATGTTATTCTACGTCTGTGAATGTTAGCCTATGCCTAGATCATTATCCAACTGTTGCATTTTTTATGATGAGCCCTTAGACTTACTATACTTAACTAGTTTGTGATATAGATATCTAAAGAAGCTTGTCAAATTAGTTTCCTGAGATAGATCTAATAAGTTGACAGCGAACGGTTTTCTTGCTTTAAATTGCCAGGTAAATAAGTAAAATCCTTGAAGGAGATTGAAGTGCTGCAAGGGCTGGTCAAAAATAATACAGATGGCACTAATGAATGATTGACTAAGTGAGGTTCAGAAGGTGTTTGTCAGGGATTTGGATGATGTTATATGTGCAATTTTCATTGGAAGTTTCATTAGATCTACAATTTTGTAGGGTTTAGTTTCACCAGGTTTATTGATAGACAAGTTTATGAGCTCTTGGCTGACATGGACAAGGTCATAGCGGGGAAAATTGGTAATATGAGCATGTAGAGAAAAACCTGAGCATATCCTTTGGTTCTTATGACTGAAGATTATGTTCATGGATCACTAACTAAGATACGTTTAAGACTGTTTACAATTCTGATGTAGAGGTAGGAAATAAAGGAATATTCAATAAATACAATACATCACAATCAAATGCCTCATAAGAGGT